CTAATCTAAAGATTAAGGAATTGGTAAAAGTAGCACTTGAGTTTCCACTGCCGAAACTTACCGTCAGAAACATATAACATCTATGTTGTATGAATGGGAATGCGATGGACATATATATATATATATATATATATATATATATATATATATATATATATATATATATATATATATATATATATATATATATATATATTTATGCAGTGTCTACGGCTTTGGGTAAGATACATACAAACGAGTGAATAACTTGTTACTTATATTTAAAATAAAGCAGGTTGTTTATTAGGGGTTTTCTAGCTACGATGTAAAATAATTTGCACGATATCTCGAGCCGAGCACGCTACTTCCGGTGAAAATTCTTGATGTAAACCACAAATAATTCAATTTAGTATAAACTAAATTATCGTTCGCTAGCGTCCATCGCTGATCAGACTACGGGAAACTTATTTCTAGGTAAATTTTAAATATAAATGTATCAAAGAGTAAAAAGTTCAAAACTGGGGCGTTATTGCAACTTTTACTTGGTCGCTGGGTAGCTATGATGCGATACGTTTTTGTTTTTCTTATTTTTGATCATTGTATGTGCGAAAAGAGTTTTCATATTAGAATTGATTGCAATTATAGATAAAAGTTTTTTTTTAAATTCTTGTACGCCGGAGCGATGAATACCGTGTAGCTTCCCTATTCGTCCTGAAACGAATAGAATTTTATAGAACGTCATCTCTGACCCAGATGCCGCCCGGAGTAAAACACGTGTGATATGTGTTCAATATCGCGAGAATAATATCGAAAATATCCCGATATGACCTTTACACACCCAATCACAAGCAAATATTATCGACGTTGTTCAATCCATTTGGGAAATTTACTACAATACAAAAATATATTAATTTTTATCAAATACGTATAAGATCAATTTTTTTTTTATTTGCTTCGATTCAAAATCCATTATTGGGAGAGTGTGACAGAGTGAGAGTTAGAACAAAAGAAGAACACGAATAGAACAAATGTGAGTTTTAATCTACTCTGTTACTTTAATATAAAGGTAACGATCCGACTACGCCTACGGTAAAGCCTACGAAATTCGTAGCACTTTTCTATTCCATAGAACCATACTACGCAATTTCTTTCACACTATTGATCTCTACAATATTTTTTTTATTTAAATAATCCTTAAATATCAATACAACCTGGCCTCTAATTTGATATGTGTAACAGCATAAAGTCTTTAGAAGCAAATACTATGACTAGTATTTTGTAGACATTTTCTACATTAGTTCTAACAAGTTCGTCTGGAATATGCTTCAAACTTCTCAAAGCGTTGTGAAGTCACCTTGCAAATATCATGCGGCTCGATAAACCGATAAATTAACGCATAATAGTGTACATTACAGTAAGCTCAGTCAGTTAATATCTTTCAATAAAATTAATTTAATACATCTTTTCTAATAATAAAAATGCGAAGTAAAAGTAACTTTGTCTCTGTGTGTCCTTCTTTCACGCAAAAGCTACTGAACCGATTTAAGCCTGGGGAAGGCTACTTTTTAACGCGAAAAAGGGGTTGTAAGGGGTTGAAAAGGGGGTTTGGAAATTTGTATTACAAAATTGAAGTTTGTATTGGAATATGTCAGGTTTATGTGATTTTTTTGTGAGTTTAATATGTTTTGGCGTTATCTTATATATATAAAAGAAAATCGTGTTAGTTACACTATTTATAACTCAAGAACGGCTTTACCAATATGGCTGAAAATTGGTGAGCTGTGAGCCAGAAGACGGACAGAGGATACTATTGATTATTTTTTTCGATTTTTTGCCTTGAAGCTGCTTTTTATTTAACTTACAAATATTATAAATGGATGGGTGTTTGAAGATATGTCTAGAACGGATGAACAGATCACGATTAAATTTGGCATACGTATAGAACATAGTCTGAAAGAAAACATAGGCTACACTAATTAATTTTTAATTATACATGCGAACGGAGTCGCGGGCGTCAGATAGTATATTATAAGTGTTAGTGAAATAAGTAGCATAAATGATTAAAATGCTACCCAAAGTCATAATTTCACGCGAACACAATCGTGGGCGCAGCTTGTAAAAATATAATACATCTTAATTGTTGAAAAAATGTTTCAGTGAATTTCCTCTAATGCTCAAAGTTAAAGTTTTCAGCTTAATTTATCTTGATATTTATTACTCAGAATATTTTCTATTGATAGTTTAAGTGTAATTATTATTTAATTATAACCCGTGATCAAGTACAATTTCTTCGAAAATGAAATTTAAAAATTGGTATACTGATGTAGTAACTTTGAAATTCGTACCATGAAACTTCATTGTTGAAATATTTATGTTATGTCGTATATATCTATGTTTATGTACAACAGAATGGGAGAGAATATGTTATTATACAAATTCTACAACAGTGTAAACCTACACTAATTTTGTATCAGTTGCATTCTTGACGGTTAACGTCATATTTTTAAGAGCTTGTTGACTGAAGCAATGCGTATTACATATCTGTCTAGATTTAGCACATGATCACTTATGGGTTTGTTTACTCCAGCAATAGCAAGCAATTAAATTACATTGGCACATTTGTCGACGTCTGCGACTCTAATTATCGTATCGATCACGCATGTCGATCGATAAATCTTTTGTTGAAGTTTTTAGGACACCAATGTCTACAATAAATTTTGCTCTTGGTATTCATTGTTTGGATTCGCATATTATATGCAGTTGATGGCGTTTTAATTAATGTTAATAAAATGTTCAACAGATACTTTTTTTTTTTGAATATATTAAAATTTACCTTCATTTTTCTTCGCTCAGTGCACTTCCTTACAATTGTAAATTAATTTAATTAAATTTCATTTATCTTTAGTAACTTTAGTAATAATCATAATCTGCTGTATGTAAGTTGAAAAAAAAAATCGTATTCACATAAAATCACAAACGCGTTTTGTGATAGCCAATATGTCTGTCTGTCTTTGTATTAAGTCATTAAATCATATGTGCGGCAGTCCTCAAAAATAAAAGGTTGGTGAAGCAAAGGGCCCACGCCGCATACGCGTAACATCCCAAACGTATTAATTATCTGTTTGAAGTCTTTTTGAAAACAAAACAGCATATTCGTTATGAATGCTTTGATATAAAAGATAAAAAATCTTAGATTTTTTAATCTTAGACTTATATTTTTTATTTTATTTAGAGACGGTTAATGAATGGAAATTTTAGATCCAGAAAGACGGTAATTGTAAACGTAGCCGCGAGGTATGCAAGGGGTAGAGGGGAAGGAAATGCATAGCCACACCGTAGTACGATACACGAAGTATGCCTCAGGCTTATTCGTTTACAAAGCCAAACGATCCTATTACAATTTTGTACAAATGTTCAAAGGTCAGTATTGTTTTTATAAATATGAACAAACTAAAACATTTTAAAAGTACACTTTTTTAATTTACTACTCCTGTTCAGTTTCTATTATTTTTTTATAAGAGTTACACAAAGTAGCTTAGTTGATACCGTTATTTAGATATAGTAATAGGTTGTCTGTCAAGTTCTTGCCGATCTTCCAAAGTACTTTTAGAAAAAGTTTGACTTCGATTCATTGTTTTTTATGAGTTTTATACGCCTTAGAATATAGGGTGAAATAAAGTTCATTATAGACATTTTTGCCTATCTTTTTCTGAAAGGGTAAAAATATCATACAAGAAGTATATAAGATTTACGCTGTTTATTGAAGATGCTATAGCTGTAATTATTTCTCATACATCTCAGTCTTTGTAACTGAACTCTCTTCTTATATTACTCATATTCCTTTGGAAACAATCCATTCATTTCATACTTTCATGATAATTAATACAGGTAATCTTCGATATAATTTTAGTTTTGTTTAAGTGACAGCAATTCACCTGTGTAAATAAAATGCGTTTTACAATTTGATTTGTTAGTCAAAACATAAATTTAAATCTGTGTCTGGAATTCACCACGCTTGTTACCTAATACTTTAAAGAAACTGATTTAAATTGATTTGACCGATTGACTGATTTATCAATGCACAGCTGAAACTCTGGACCAGAAATTTTGGGGTTCCCGTTACTACGCAGTTGAGTTGATAATTATTTTATGCTTCAAAAATGTATTAAAACTAACCTAATGTTTAGTCGCGATTTTTATATCAGGTAGATATTTGGTTGAGCATTTTTTACTTCAGTTTTACTAATATTATAAATGCGAAAGTTTGGATGGATGTTTGGACGGAAGCGAATCTCTTTGAAATTTTATGTAGATTTAGAACACAGTCTCAAAAACACATAGGGTACTTTTTATTTCGCGAACAAAATCTAGTAATGAAATAAATACATTAATTATTAATTTAATTAAAAAGCAGGAAAGAAAATATTGCTACCGTTATTTCCCAAATATAATCCATTTTCCCCGAACACACAAAAGTTCACTAAAATATTTAAATGTCCAAGTAAGGTATAAGTAGAATGAAAAAGAGAATTAATACAAGATCAGTAACACAACGTAATAATAAGCGAAAATTGTACCGAATCAGACGTGGCCTTGCGTAGACACTGCAAAAGTCCACTGAAACCCGGCGCGTACGCAACCGGTCAATAACCCCTCGCTCAGCTGTGCGTTACCTTGCGGCCAATAAGAAGTCAATAAATTAAAAAGATGCCCGCGACATCGTGAACAGTTCCAGCCTCTGTGTTTGTGTATGAGTTTGTATAGTTGTTATAACTGTAACTGAAGAGTGTTCTGGAAAGATATTTAAGATTCCCTACGGACAGATTAGTAGTCCTGGTGGTTTCTTACGATAAGCTCGAGGGTTCACATGTTCATGAACAAATGAAGTAGCAGGTTCACTGAAATAAGTTAAATTTTGAAAGGGCTCCATGAGTAAAAGTATGACATTATCTGAACCAAACTATCCCTAGTCTTACCTTATTCATATTCACAAAGTTTCTTACTAAAATCTTTGTTCGCAGTGTTTGGCGACTCTTTACACACACCGAATCAGTTTGGAGCATCATCAGTGGAGGCTTTGATGTCTATACTAAATGGATTTATTTTAACTACAACGTATAAGGGGTTAGTGGTGGTTATTTCTCCAAATGTCGAACAATATCTTGGATACACTGAGGTAAGAAAAAACTATTTAATTTTAATTGAGTTATCTGCAAATGGGTCGTTTGAAAGATCGCAGCCAGCATAAAGAGTAAACGTGAAACTTAATTAACATATTGGTAAGGGACTACGAACAATCGAGGTGAAAATCACACGGGGGAATTCTCCTCTGACGTAACACCTTCTATAACGATATTGCTATTCTTCTCAATCTCTTGGAAATAATAAGAAATAACAACAATGTGAAACCCATCCGACTAATGGTATAGAAATAGTTGAAGTTTCAATTTAGAAAAAGCACTTACCTGGCTCTCTCTCTACGAACAAATGGACATATGGTATTTTATCGTTTTTCATAATATTATTATTTCTGTAGATAATGTGTACAAGATTTAAGTAAATTCAAACTTAGCTATTATTTTACAGTTTACCTGCGAATATTTTGCGATCGTGTAAATTCCCGTATCGTTAATGGAATTTGATCCTTCCTTAATTGAACTCTATGCTACTCTGAGTATATGTAACGCTTTATTACCAGTGTTCAATATTCTTCCTTTCATTATTTAGTAACATCTCCACATTTTCAACATTAGTTAATTAAGGACCAATTCATTAAGTAACGAAGCGTTAGCTACTTAGTGTTGTTGTAATCGTTTTTTTGGTAATAATAAAAATCGATTTCTAAAAATCAAACTGGCACATAAAAAAGACGATGCCTTTACAAAAATATTTTCGATCAATTTCTTAAAAATAAAATATTTTTAGTTTGGCTGCCAGCAATCTAGTTGCATGACAAATCAAAAAGTCAAATAAAAATGAAGCCTTTCAACGAGTGAAAATATCTTTTAATTGTTAGTCAAAGCTAATGGAAAATCCTGCGTATTTGTACTTCAAACACTTTATTGGATTAGACCAAAGTGAATACGTATTTTTGATAGAGTGAAACTCGTCAACAAAAGGGTCGACAAGTGGTTGACTGCAAGCGGCCAGCATACGGTCGGCAGCATTTTAAGCGCGGAATACAATGTAGAGTCCGTGTATGGCGACCACATAGATATTCACCCTTAGATTCCTAGAAAACAGTTATTGCCCGTTGCGTTGGAGGTTCAATCAATCTGTAGGGTATTTTTGTAGCGTGGAACTAATGAAACTTTGTAAACGAACAAACTAAATTGATCAAACGTTTGAGCGATTGACAAAGTTGATTGAAGTCCTGCATGAACAATATTAAAAGCTTTTTACAAATATGACGCGATGTAACGAAAATTTAAATGTGACTCGAAACTTTCATCTACATAATTCCATTTAGGTTATTAGTGCTACAAAATATTTACAAATTGACGAAAAATTGCCTTTGAAAAAAATTCAGAACAACTGTTTAAATCGAGTGTTCTATTTTAATTTTAGTAATTTCGATACACGATAACTACTAGATAGTAATCTGATTAACAATCATTATTGATTAATATGAACAGGATTAAATCTGAAGCTTAGTGAATCTGCAATAATGGAGACTTATAGATCAATGGACATCAAATTGCACTTGCTTCTATGATTTCGCGAAGAGTTTCCATGCATTATCTATCGTTATTCCGACCCAGTGACTCCATAAATAAATACAATTTTATAACAAGGTCTGAAGAACAACAGAGTTGAAAAAAATATAATTTTTTAAATATTTCTATTTGCATTTGAAAAAACTCGCAAAATATTTTAATTTGACAATAATAAGATGACATTCTGAAACAAATTAAAAATTAATAAACTCTTTCAGTTGGATCTAATTGGTCATAATATTATAAATATCATTCATGAAGAGGATCAACAGAAGATGTTAGGCCAGTTGCTTCCAAAGAGTTTCCTCTTAGGGCCCAATGACGAAATACTTTTCCCTGAAGATCCAGAGTCCAAAGAAAGAGTCACAGAGGCACTAAGAAATGAAAGGAGATATTTCAACATCAGGTAACACACGACTTTGTTTCTTTACAAAGAGACAAATAAAGCGGAGATTACTAATTTTAAATTTTTAAGTTTTGGTTTAATAATGATACGGGACCAATCTAATACAAATTGGAAACTGAAAAACGATGATTATATTAAAATCAAAATTCAGCAGGTAAGTACGGGTTATTGTCGGATCGCACGCATGCTAGTGGAAACGCTTTCGTAGACACCCGCGGCTGCTCCTGCACTGAGACAAGCCTCCCCAATACTTCATAGACGGGCGCGCCGGATTAATAAGCACGACCCTTACACGTCCTTGGGGATGGCTTACGGGTCCCTCCTAACTTTCGTTTTTATTAATCGTAGTTTAGTAAACAGCTGAGCGAATTGCTAAGTTAACATTATGAGCGGTCTTAATATCTAGTAAGAAATTATTTGTGTCTTAATGCTGAATGTAGCAAATACTTTCTTCTTCATGCGACTATTTTCGAACTATTTATATTTCTCGAGACTTGTCTGCTCTAATGTACTTAATCTTACGTCCGGCTTCTGAAATATTTTTCATTTAAAATTACAACACCTATAGACCTCTGCCATTTAGATTAAATACATGCAGAAGTTCAAGAAACTGAAGAAGGAGTTACGTGAGTTACGATTTAATTGTAATTTAAATCGATGGTCTTTTCAGAAACCTAGTGTAAGGCTTGCGCCAATAGCGATTTTGAAGCGATTGATTATTGTATAACTAAGCATGCTTTAACTTTGTGTGAGATTTCTCTGAATGTTAGAAACAAAACGTCATAAAAAATCCGCTTTTATATATTTATACTGCAATAAAAATGTGGAAAGCAAATATATGAATTATTTTACATTAATATTTCCGTGATAATTGTAGCGTAAATAATATGCCAGTTGTGCGAAACCTACGTAGAGTTGGTTAAGGATTTGAAGATAGTTATCATTTTCAATTCAACAGGTTCAAAAAAAATGGTCAACGAAGTGAAAAGCACAAATACCTCAGCTGTAACATTGAAGGTTCCTTCAGGAAATCAGACAGAGCTGATATAAGTAACAATCGACATACTCAAATGGTACGACGTCTTCGAGCAAGGGGTCGGAACTGGTGCTCAAGCGGAAACGACGTGGTAAGTGTCATCTCCTCAAGAGATGGAATACCAAGATCCCGATCTCCGGTATTAATATGAAATTTTATAAGCATTATAAGCCTCTACATTGTTCTGATTGAGAAAGGGAAAATTAAACTTTTATCTCATTATCAGATAACAAAATTGGTCCAGTAGTTTATTTATTAGAAGAAGTAAACTGTCTCCGTCTCGTTAGTACGGAGAAACAGAATTTTTAATTATCTTTCCTCAAGCATACTTTAAAAGTTAATAACGCAACTAGATATAATGAATAATTAAAGTTATGAGCTTTTAGTCTACCAACGCTCTGGGATATATTAAATATTTTTGTCGTGACTTGTAATTATGTGCTTTATTTCTCACATATATTATTTATTCCAGGTGTTTATTGGCGTTGTGAGACCTTATATTGAGACGTTTGTCACTGAGAGTAAACTCAATTCATGCCTCATGGAGTATCGCACGCGACATTCTATCGACGGTGAAATCATAAACTGTGACTCAAGAATCTCCGTGGCTACAGGCTACATGGCAAGCGAAGTTAGGGGTGTTAATGCAATGAACTTCATGCATCGGGACGACGTCCGATGGGTCATAGTAGCGTTGAGAGAAAGTAAGTATTAACAATTTTTTTCACTCTGTTTTCGAACTATTCCGAATCTATTTTTTGTGTATACATTTTTGGTAGTAAAATTAATTAACATGTCTAAAATGTAAAAAAAAATATTCAAGCTGTTAACTGGTCGAAGCATACCAGGATTAGCTACTTAAAGTAAAACATTTTTTTCCATTTCAGTGTACGACCACCATCGTTTGTCGGGAGAATCCTGTTACCGTTTGATGACAAAATGTGGGAGCTTCGTGTATATGCGTACTCAAGGATTTTTGGAGGTCGATAAAGATACAGGATCGGTAACTAGTTTTGTTTGCATCAACAAAGTTGTAGATAGAGAAGAAGGCAAACTACTCAACATGGCAATGAAAAAGAAATTCATGATGTTAGTGAACAACACTGATGAAACACCACCAGAGGATAATGATGATGAAGAGGTACGTAATAGATTTATTTTTGTCTACGTCCATGGCTGTGTTCAGTACACAAGAAAAGGGTAATACTAATTCTAGAAACTTCATAATATTTTCCTGAAATGGCCTTCCAACTTGTAGCATCATTAAATTTGTAAGGCTTATGCGCCTGGGAGGCTATGTAATAGTTGTAAAATTACTTTGATAAACAGAATTAACTTTAAATTTTTGTACATACTTTTTAGTAGTGCTGATACGATTAGAAAATCAAATTGTTGTGCTATTTCCTTTTAAATAATTGTTAATTTCTCCCAATGAATCTCGGGCTTCTATTAACCATTTTGTGGTAGTCAAAAATTGTCTATTTCGTTCCACACCTAGTAGTGTTTTGATGAATAATCCAAAGTAAGTAGTGCAAAGCATCTTTAATGAAACATACTTATAATAAATTAAAGTTGCAAAAGTAAACTTTAAGTTGATTAATTCAATTAGTGATAAAACACTGCACGTTCAGTATAAAGATACTGAACGTACAGTGTTTGACATAAACTTTGAAATAAGTTCCAAACCGATGCTGTACCTTTGTTTGTATTGTTACAATTGGTTATATGTATTTGGACTATTGCCAAAATTTGGTAATCTAAGCTGAGCAACGAAAGGCGGGTTCTCTTAAGTACCCACCCCCTAAATTCGTGAATTCTGAGTGGGCGTTGTATTCTTTCCGTGTCTTCGCCAACCCCAAAGCTAATAAACTTACGCTTGCCTTAAGTTGAACTAAGTTTAACCAAGTTATCCAAATTTGCATTCTTTACACTATAGGAAAAAGAATAATGCATTCATTTTATGTCAGGAAAATAGATAAGTGACCAGAACATAAAAAATGAAAGCAGCTGCTCTGCTGCATGATTTTTTTTTGTTTTAATAAACACAACCAAAGTAATTTTAATGTTATTTTGACTTAACTCAATAATGATAAAAGGTTTAATAGCCGAGAAAATTATTTCAAAACAACTGAAATTTAGTACAAAGCATCATAACTTTACGTAAGTACGTAAGCAGTTGTTCCTAAAATTTACGATAACAGGAAATTCGTTCTACTAAGTACTGGTTAGTTGGAAACAGGGATGAATATGCAATCAGTTGGAAATGGAAATAATAATACGGTAGTGTTAATAAAGAAATTAATTAAAAATCTCAAGAATCGTACTAATATTTGCTTTTTAGTTAATTATATTATAAATGAATGTATGAAATATATAGATATATGGATGTTTATGAAAAGGTATCTCCAGAACTGCTAAATGGATCACGCTTCTACAACTATGCCAAATTTCAGCGAGATCCATGCAACCTTTCTGGAGATACACAAACGTCCAATGATTCATACATTCGTATTTATATTATATTAATAAGGAACACAAAATATTGATCTTAATATCTTACTTCATAATATAATGTTATAAATGCAAAAGTATAAATGCAAATACTCAAGATATCTCGGTGAAATTTGGCTTGAATGTTGATCATAATTTGGAAGAATACGAAGGCTACAAAGCCGCGCGGACAGAGTCGCGGGCGACAGCTTATACTTATTGGTTGTAAAATAAGTACAAAGGCTTACCTGTGTGAGCTTCCACTTATTCAGACGCACACAACCTTAATAGCAGTGACGTCAAACTGGATCCAATGCGTTGTTAAAATATCGACTGTATGAGTATAGCGCGAAGGTTTAAAATTTCGTGCACGCCCAAGGGGTTAAGTTTTCCCCGAGTGAAATAGGAACAGATGTAATATATCTTCATAGGTTGTGAATTTAGTGCGAAGCTGCTCAGTAGTCCTGTAACGGCCACAGCGGCTGCCAGTATTATTTTAACGTTCAAAAGAGACTGACGTGCGTCTTAACGTTAAGGGTTCGGATATTTGGTGGTGGGAACTTTACTAGTTTTTTAATTATTAGAACAGTGTTAGAGATCGGATTTTTTTCTCGAACATTTAAATATAACTAGGATTAAATAAAATAATGTGTAATATTAAGTGTTTTATGCTGTTTTATAAACATGTTTATATATTTAAAGAATTTTATAAACTTATACAAATCAAGTGACAGTGACTGTAAATTAGCATTTTTATTTTTTAGTTTATATTTATTTATATTTCTTTTTAAACCAAAAAAACTTTCAAGAACAGTGTTGGAACAGTTATTAAAACAATTGAGTGATTTTTGAGGTGTTGGTTGTCTACGACAGGTTTGCTATGACTTTTTTATTATTTTTCTAACATTATAAATGCAAATATTTGGAAGGAACGATGGATTTATGTTTGTTATAAGGCATCTTCAGGACGGCTGAATGGATCTCGCAGAAATTTGCATAGATGTAGAAAATAGTTCTGAAAAACACGTAGGCTACTTTTTATTTTAAATTTTCGTGCGGACTGAGTCGCGAGCAACAGCTAGCTTAATATTAAGTAAAAAAGTTACTTAATCATATATTTTTAAGTTTGGAAAGTTTTAATTTATGTGTTTTTTTCACTTTTAAAAAAATATATAATGCTAATGCGTTTTTATGTATTAAATATCACCCGTTTTTAATTGTACTAAAATGATGAGACTTGTAGCGACATATAAAAACTTTTGCGACATTTCATGCTTAGACTAAATCATAGGAATGTGTTTTGTTCTGAAAAGAAAAAAATTAAAAAAAAGAGTTGCGAACGCAGTGCCACCTTTAGAACTCAATGGTATTTAACTAGATTCGAAAAATATTGCATTGCATTAAACATTTGTTTATCTTAAAATTAAAAAAAAAATGAAAGCGTGCAAATCAATGAAATGGACGGAACTAAAATTATGATCATTATTGTTTCATTCGTTTAAATTTGTGGATAACGTGTTCTTTTTTGTTGTAGGTTAACGACAGGCAAGGTTTACGAGTCGAAGATCCACAACAGTTGCAGAAAGTTATCCTTCACTTGGTAACCAATTTACCATCTCCCTGTCGTACTACTCCATCGAATTCGCCATCCGAAGAAGAGCGATCACCCTATCGGCTATCTATAATTCCTCCTAAAAAAGAGAGGATAGTTAACGCTATAGATAAAATATACAACGTAATACATTGTTTTAAATATATTCCTAGCTCTTTAAGATATACGAAAGAAAATTTACCCAACAGTTTACAGCGCGAAGAAAACGAATCCGACACTATGGCGTCTAATCCTGATAAACCCGATAAACCTGATAAACCTGGTAAAGCTAAAAAGTCCAAGAAATCCAAAAAATCCAACCCAGACAGACATCCAACAGATCCCGATTCATCAACAACAAATATTAGCCAACCTGAAACAGATACTAACACCCAGCCCGTTAATATAGACCCATTTATTTTTTCCCCTGATATATATCCTGGAACGTCAACGGAAATAACGCCTCAAGCCGGACCATCAGGCTTACAGAGACCGATCGACCCCTTTGTACTACGACGACTTTACATGACTGAACTGGAATACAATGCTGAGGATCATAACCAAGTTGCGAGTACTATTGAAGATAGTACCAAAACTTACGCGGTTATGATCCCAGCGATTGTATCCGGTAAGTTTGGTGAGCGTCGTAGTACTACTTCTTTTGATTCTAATCGTTATATACAACCCTTATGTCCAACGCCAGATGTCGATGTACGTCAACCGGAGCCAACCACCAATCCGGTTCAATATCGCTCATTCCAGGAGCCTTCGTCGAGTAATATGAGGCAGTTAGAAAATCCAGCCCCAGACCATCGGGAGAGTCATGCGCAAGCGTCAGGGTCGTTTCTTCCTTATCAAGTGCCCGGATACGGCATCAATTATCCATGTGGTTCAAGTGCTTATCATCCACATAGTGGTGCCTTTTACCCTGATCTAATACCTATTTATCAACCACCATGGCACTATGGTACTTATGGATCAAGGTATATTAGCGAGAATTTGCCATCACAAGCAATTCAAACGGTTCAGCCTGGTCCTTCGAGACCACCACCTATACCGTATTATCCTATACCATATCCATATGATCCCTCAAGGCAATACGGTTACCCAACATATGTGCCGGAATATTGCAACATATATCAGCAATATCAACCCCAAGCTGAAGTTAAAAGGCATTACCATACCACTGAAACTGAAGTAGTTCCAAGTAAACGTCAACACGTCGACAGAACCGCAACTAGTACACAATCAATGTACTTACAAGAAAGCAGACAGGAATCCATGACCACGACCCAAGAGGACCTACTTTCATTTCTTGAAGGTACTTAAATTTGAATAAGAAATATTTTCAGATGTTCTATGTCCAGCAGTGGAATGACATAAATATGATGATGATGATGATGATTAGGATGATGATGATGATGATGATGGTGGTGATGATGATGATGGTGGTGATGATGATGATGATGATGATGGTGATGGTGATGATGATGATGATGAAATTTATAACAGTGTAATATTAAATCAAATTTTATTTTTAGATTTTACTTTACCTGTTCACCAGTCACAAGTCGAAGAGAGTGATGTTTTAGATGACTTCGTTAATAGGAATTTGCACCTTAATGTAAGTATGTCTTATAAAACGATGATTTCCGAATTTCGAACAAATTTCGATTTCATAATTCATAATGCGAGTTTTTCTTTTGCATTCAATCTGCGAATTATTAAACGAGGTATTATTTCGAAGCGCTGACAAACTATTGCAAAATAAATGTAAGCTAGCTGCTGCGAATACTTTAATAATTGTTGCTATCTAATAATATGCAGCGCTGATTCTCTGCGATGAACTTATGGCATTTATTATATTCGACGTACTATTTTTTAACAAACTTTCTCATCCATTATGTACCTCGCTTGCGTATAGTTAATTAATTATTTTGATTACGATATACATTGTAAATATTACGATTTGGGCTGCACCATTCCACCAACAGTTGAACGCTGCGCTTGAGCATATTTTTTTTTCATATTATTGTTTTTTTTTATTTGTTTTACTTAAAAATAAAATTATTTAAAGATGCCTCATGACCGTGCATGGGAAGAACAAGAACTAGGACTAATTTTGGCATTATTGGAGGAAAATTCTCCTGAAGTACCAATAGATCCGGAATTTGATTTGCCAGAGGTAGATATCGTCCACGAAATAAGTTCTACAATGCCTTTGACTTCACATGAGGGTGCAGGATCAAGTGATGCACAAGCTGGTCTCCAATATGAAACCGAAGAACCAAATCTCGACTTCTTAATGAACCTTACAGATGTAGAAGAAACTGTCCATTATTTGTCGAGAAAAGTAGAAATAATTAAAGCGATAGAAACATTAAAAAAGTAGAAACAGTTATGTACTTTACATAAGTGTATTCAAGTAAATGTTCTTTGGCTTTAATAAATTCAACTTCTTGTATTCCAAAGGACAATTTTGAAACTGATTTTTTTCTAAATTATATGTCTAAAAATTCAACATTAATAACTATGTAAATATTTAAGTTTCATAATTAATGCTTACATAAATATGTAAGTACTGTTTAATTGGCAATTAAAAATTATAAGGTACTATTACGAATTAAAAAAAAATACGTAATAAGTACAGTACCACAGACTTTAGGGGTGTACTTAATTGTCCTGTCTTGATCAATATCTAAGGTTATGAATCTCAGAGCTATATAAAAAAAAAACAAAATTGCTTGTTTAATTATTTGCTCATTCAAAGCATTTAGTAACAATATGTATAATTTCGTGCCATACAGTTTACAATTTGTAAAAAAAGACTGGTTAGATTTGATCATCAAACATATTATTTGTAATTTAAAATTAAAAAAAAAGTTTGTTATTTTTTATTTGTTAAGCCAAGTGAAGATATTTTTATATCTTTGTCTGTATGTATTTGATTAAAATATTTCATTGTATATTATCATTGTATAAACTTCACATAATAGTATTAAAGATATTTCTCTAATTTCATTAAAAGTGTACGTACATTGAGTTTTATCGACTTATTGCAAGACTGATTTTTTTTTATATTTTCATAATCATCTTAGCCATCAATGATTCTTAAAGCATTTGAATAAAAATATTATATCCAGTGTTTGTTATTAATAATGAGGTTATTTGTCAAATTAAAATAAGATTTATTAAGATTGTTAATTGAGTATTATATATTATTCGTTTCAACCAGTTTCGTATATATTTCCGATAATTTTTTTATGTATATAATAATTATAAAAATAAAAAAAAATGTTACCTTGTAAATTGAATTTGCATTGAATTTTTTAAATGAATAATTCATAAAAGTATTTGTTACACTACGAAAACTTTAGGTAGTTGAAATAAAAAGCTTATAAAGTTTTCGCCAAAAGTAGTAATTAACAATAAATCCCATGTAATTAGTTTTACTTGAATTATTATTATTATTTTTAGGTATATATTAAATAGGTGCAGGGCAGTTACTTGGGATACATATTATAAAATAACTTTCTATTATATAAAGAACACAGGTGGGCACAGTTAATCGAAACGTTAACTTCGTTAATCGTTAGTTCATTAATTAAAAAAGTTAAAGTCGTTAACCCTTAAAATGTTAAATTCTCAAAAATTTTACGCAAGTTAAAGTGCACATCACACATGCACGCGCACTTTGCATACATCAATTATCAACTCGTTCGAACACTATTCGGATAGCCGACGGTTGCGAAAACAAAGCCAAACTTACGCCCGTGGCGGTGCGCGTAATTTAAACAAAATGAAAGCACATTACCTAGTGCCTAATGTAACAAGAGTGTTAATACTTTTAAAAGATACCTTGAAAGTTAATTTAAATCTTAACTTTGTTAATTAATGGATTAACAAGTTAATGCCCACCTTTTATAAACAAGTTAAGTACTAGGATACTTCTGTATTTGATAATGGTGAAGGTATTATATAAGAAACATAAAAGTGGAATGATGAGTCTTAGAATTTTCAAAACTGCCCTCAGGGCGAAAAGTTTCACAAAAATTTTAAGTCATGTAAAATAGAACGGAATGTGATAAATTTTACGTATATAGTTTGTAAAATAATATCATAACTATGTCGTTATCAATCAATGTACAAAATAGTTATTACGGGATGCGCACGCGCATACAAAAGGCTAGGTAATTCTTAAGACGCACCATTACATCTTTTAGAACAAAAGTTACGTATTTGCGAGTATTGTAAAGGTTTGAACAGATTATGAAAAATCTTAAACCTTAAGATAATAAATATAAGAATTTCCTTACATTTTATTAACTTTAGATTTTTAATGTTAAGATTTTATTGGAAATAAATTATAGTGTGACATGTCTATCTGACCCGGTAAATCAGGCGTTGCTATGGTTAATTATGTCAGAACAATCATAAGCATAGAAAATCATGTAATAGAAAAAAAAAACATGACAAGAATGACAATACCGGAAAGCGAAACATTTTTGATATAGACAGAGAGGCGCTATTGCAGTACAAAAATTAGTTTAACTTAACCTTACCGGATCAGATGACTTAGTCCGTCTTTAGACATATATTATGCTCATTTTCAGTTAAAAAAATGAACACGTTAAAAATTGTTATAATGACACGTTTTATTATAAGAAGGCACGAAGGTATTTTGTATATTCTGGTAAAAACATTTTTTTTATTTTACTAATTAGACTTCAGAAGATCTCTTTTATCGTTAAAACTATGCTTATAGGTTTGAAGATCAAAAATTGTTATTTAAATATTTCAGCAAATTTAAACACAAGTTACTTTTATATTTATTTTAATTAATATTGTTTTCAAAGTCTGTTGATTTGTTTGTTATTAAGAAAGAAAAATGTATTATAATTTTATAGTTTTATTTTTGTAATTGTTGTAATTTTTAATGTATGTATAACATTTGGTAATTTATAAAGCCTATTAAAGATGTTTCAAAATCATACCTTGTTATCGATGTAGTATCAATCTCAACATTTAACACTATGTTTGTCAAAATTAAGGAGATTATGTCTCTGTATTTAATAAATCTTTAAGAAAAACGCCATTTTATTTAAAAATAAATTCCAGCTTGATGCATCTTGACAGACAACAAATTAATCCTATAAGGGTTCCATTTTTTCCAAAATTTCGCAAAATCATTCACTAGAGTTAGTTATCACATAAGATTTAGTGAACCCATGGTTTCCAATCCCGAATTTGTGATATAAAAAAATAAAAAAATAATACATATCATCTTATAGTAGGGACAGCATTTTCAAAAAACTAACCTCCAAATTTTACATTAAAATTATTATCACAGATCCTTTAACTTAATAAAAGAACTCTTGAAATAAAGTAATACAAGATTAGGTTCGCAACTAAGCATTTTCATCTAAACAAAATCAGTATTCAGCAGAATTGTTCTTGATGCAGTGTCTTGTACCAGAGAGTCATTGACTGTGCAGCAGCGACAGCTACAAATCGCAAAAATATGATAAACCGATGAAACTGTGACAATACAGTGCTATTCAAACTTCATAACAGCTCGAAAGTTCGCGCTACACAGTGTGTAAAAGACAATTGCAGGGGCTGGTGGAAAATAAGGAGATGCGGGGGTTTCTAGTTCTTTCGATCAGTCTACTGATAAACATATTTATGTACAATATAGAGGAAATATCCAATGTAACAATAATTAATAAATGTACAAACTGTTCATTTTATAAAGTCCTGTTAAAATTTAATTTTTTAACCAAACCACGACGGCAATCAAACCTGGCAAGACGTGCTTGGAGCTAACCACGTGCCGCTATAAAGTTTGAATCTTATAATACCAAAGTTGGCGGTAAACATAAACGATGAATAATAAATCAATGCACTCTAACCCTTTGTTATCAAACTACAACTACGTCTCAACTTATTTCTTTACACTTTTTCTCTTCCATCCATTTTCAATAAGCGGAAAAGGACTTTTACTATGTCTTGCTTACCACGAATACAGTTCATATGAAATAGCAAAATAACAAAGAATAAACCTTATGATAAATTCTCTGTATAGAAATTTACGTCGATGAAATATTGTTAAAATTTGAATATACCTTAATAATTCATGTGTGTTTCTTGTCACAAGTCGACTGAGGTCAGTTGCACTTTAAAATGAACATGAATTGAACGAACATGAATTTTGATAGGATAACGTTTCTTACGCAGAATAAATTTGATACATCGGTTCAATACTACAATGTTATCTGACCCAATTTTGCTATTATTGCTGTTACTTCTGCCGAAGAACAGAAATATAAAACCTAGTAAGGCAATGCAAATGTCGGCATCGATACCGATGAGGGGTGCTTGTTAGAGGAAGAGGGACACTAAACAAAGTATGAATCGATTGTGTGAAAGAGGATATGCCTAAGAAGGGGGTAGATATGACGGCTTACTGAGATGTATGGAGGAGTAGTACATACTATGCCGACCCTACGTAGGAATAAGGGCAGGTTGATGTTGTTGATGATGATGGATACGAGTTCAATACAAGTCAAAAGATAATCAGCCATTTAGTTATGTTGGCCATCTTGAATTACAATAACAATGAATAAAAAATTGCACTATCTTCAGTATTTAAGGTAAGTCTAATTTGGGTTACAAGATTTGTACACGATATAAGCAGTAAGCAAGCTATTGGTAGGATTTGAAAAAAAGACATTACCAGACAGTTATTAAATTTAAAGTGAATCGGCGAGAGAGGCGCTCCTGTCGCGACTAGTTTTGTCAGAAGATATACAAACCTGTGTCAAAGAAAATGGCACAAAAAATAACGTGAATACTTGACAGTAAAGAACTTGTGACACCTTTTTGACGTTGACAGACGTCATAATTTGACATATACCCATCGGTTCCACTGACATCTGTAAATGGACTGGTTATAGGGAGTAGCATTTTGTACCTTTTTGATTTTCGCACTTGGCGCTAATGGTAGCTTTTTGTAGTGATGTTGTGGATTCCAACTTATAATATACATAGATAGATTAAATGTCACGTATTATGAACAGGTGCGTTTTAATCGGAACGAATCTAAGGCTGTCAATTCCAAACAATAGCCTATCCATTTATAGGGATCAGTGACCGGGTCTGATATCCTTGTCTGTTGTCGGTCGATGTAACGAGAATCTTGTGACTTTTTTTGACATCGACAAGAGGGTGCAAAAGTGCTTGTTTTATGCCTACCAGGTCAAATAAATTTATAGTCTTTGATATTAATGTACGTAACTTTTTCTTTTTAACATTACATATATCATTATGCATGCTAAAATAATAAAATGAAAAATCTAAATATATTATTCATTTTGGCGTATAAAGCAACACAAGTAATTATTTATTCAAAGAGTTTAAACTAATAACATAGGTAGAAATTACACGTAAAGTGTGTCCGCCTCAACAGATGGCATGCTTACAATCCGTTATTACGATAGGTGA